GGCTAGGGGGCGGGGCGGGAGGCCGGGCGGCCGCGAGAGTGTTTTCAGTTCCGCCTCCAATCGCCCATTCCCCTCTCCCCTCCCAGCCCCTCATCCCATTCGGAAGAGGAAGGAACAAAAGGTCCCGGACCCCCGGCCTTGACGGGGCGGGACCCGGAGCCTCGGTCCAGGTAAAACCGCGGCGCCCGGCGGGCCCTTGGGGCTAGGGGTGTGTTTGCGTTGGGCTGGGGTCGGCGAGGCTCGCCCCATCGCACGGCCACGGGGGCTGGTGGCTGGGGTGTGGCGAGGTCGGAGCAGCAGTGCGCCCGGGCCCTCGAGGTGCGGGAACGCGGGGCTGGGCAGGCCGAAGGGAAGGGGTCCGCGCCCCGAGCTGCCTGCCGCCGGGTCCGGGGCCCGGAGCTGCCTGTTGGGGCCCTTCTCCGCCGCCGCGAAAACACTGGGTAGTTTTTGGTTCTGATTTTGAAAGCCGGAGGGACAGAGCTCTTGTTTCGGGAGTTGTTGGGAAGCCGTGTTAGCAGCGTGCGATACTTTGCTTCCACTTTTTTTTTTATCGTGTAACCTTTGTTAACCATTATAGTCTCGGGGTTCTGAATTGCTTGTGTACTCACACAAACATGCACACGGCTGATACTCTGTCGAGATCCTTCTCTACTCACTTGTGAAAGTTGCTCTGTGAGTGGATCCTATTAGTTTTTATCACACACCTTTGGAAGGCAAGCTAATTGATTTCACGTATTTCAAACTTGGTTTTCAGATTTGCAACTTGAATTGTTTTGTTCTCTCCTGGGGGAATACTGTCCTTGGGTTGGGTACTTTTGTCTTTTACTTACTTAATCCTTATGTGGTTAATGGTTTCCTTTTGATCCGAAACAAACGAAAAACAATGCCTAGGTTGGTTTTGTTATTCCTTCCCCTTGACCCTTTAAATAGCTAAATACTACCGGTTTGTTGTCAACTAAACCTTTATTTAAGTAAACATCTCCAGGTAAAATGAATTTGGAGGTAGCATTTTCCATCAGTTACAGTTTGGAGTATCCTAAATTTTAAACTTTTTAAATGACACATGTAAACTAATTGTTAATAAATAAATAATCATTAAGACTTACTTGGAATAATTCCATCTTTTCAAAGCTGGTCCCTGAAATTTGAATTAACTTCCAGGATCCTGAAAGATTCTATAATCTTAGTTCCTTTTCATTTTTTTCTCCTCTGATTTCATATTAATTCAACCTGTACCACTGATTGTAAGGATGTTTTTCTTGAGTCTAATAAGATAATAAATTTGCTATTACTCTGAAAATACATTTGCTATTCTAGTTTTGACCCGCTTTAAAAAAAACTTTACATAGAAGTGTAAGTCAAATACGTAAATGAAATTTGAGGAGTTTTAATGTGAGTAAATAAATAAGAAAATGTAACAGATGGGAGAAATAATGTAAAATGGATTTCATAAATTATCACAGTTTGAGGATTTTTTATTTGCCTTAAGAAAACCACACTGGAATTCAATAGAATTTTTTTGACCAAAAGGTTATTTAGCAAACATTTATGGTAAATTCAGAAAGTAATACTGATTTAAAAGTTCCTTAGTTTTTGCCATAAAATTAGTTGTGGTAGTAAATAATAATTCCAGTCTTCTGGGCATTTCTAAGGTGAGTGCCCACTTATACTCTCTTAATGTTACAATCAATTGACTTTAAAGTAGTTCATTGGCTAGTGTTAGTTAATGCAATGTGATTGGAAACATCCATTTCTGGATTTTAAGAAATTGTTCTTAGAGATTTGTTTATACTTTGTAACTATACCTTCTAAAGTGATTTCACACTGTAGGTGTTCAACAAAAGCTTGGTTGTAACTTTCCTGTACCTGGTCATAAGTGGTCAAATCTCTACAACAATCTGTAAGGTTCATTAAATGATAGTCGTGGAAGAAACTGTGCAGGGTAATTTCCTGTTGTTTGTGGCTTGTGGGGCTTAACTTAGTATGTGTTTTACCTCTTCAAGTAGGGATTTGGGGATGGTTTTGTATATTTCAGCAGAAAGTCTCTTTAATAGAAACAAAGGTTTCTACTGCAAGATTGCAAAAGGTCCCCTTTTCATTTTCATATTGAATATTAGAATCATGTTTGCTATAATCTTGTTACTTCACATTCGGGGGTAATATGTGAGTGATAACCTGCTGATCATAGGCCTACTGATTTTTATATCTTGCAGATATTTTCAGTTGTGGCTTTTACCAGAGTCTGAAAGCTTTCCTTATCCTTGTTTGGTTTTTATTTTGTTAGTTTTGTGTTTTAGAACTCCAAAGGCAGGCTTCATTTTCTAGCAGCTTTTTTATACAGGTGTTTTTTGTAATGCATATAAAGGCTGTATTTAGTGTAGTCTGGCAGATGGAGATTTATTCATATTCTTTGGACAAGAGTCATTTTTAGAGGATGGAGAGGGGCATGTCTTTTAGTATATGTGCTACCGAAGCGAGCACGAGGGGCGTGTCTTTTAGATTTCTTGTCTTTTGATGGGAGTAGAAGAGCCAGTTTTAAGCTCTTAGTTTCTGTAACAGGAAAGGCATTTTTCACTAAGGGTATGTCAGAAAATGTGAAATAAGATTTCAAAACCAAATTCAGGAGAGGCTATGCATTTATTCAACTTGTATTTATTAAACAAGTAGCATTTATTCATTTATTCAACAAATAAAATAACCTTTTCTGTGTGTCAGGCTCGGACTAGGCAATAAAGTATCTAACAGTGAACAAGTATACCTCTTATCCTTAATGGAATTAAAAAAGTAGAAACTACTCACATCTCCTGCCCTGTCCTCCAGTTTAGAGTAAGAAAATCATGTTAGTGCAAATTGAGGGAGCTTGTAATACATTACTGAGCCAATTTCTAAAGTGTGCTTGTATTGCTTTCTGTAATGTAGAGGACAGCTCTAGAAAAGATATCAAGTGTTAACTCATAGTGTCACTGGGAACAGTCTGTATTTTTGGGGGGGAATTTTTCACCATTTTTGCACAATCTATACAAACTGAAGATGTGGCCAGTCTTGCAGAAACATTTGTTGCTGAGCAGGTGAACACTTTTAGAACTAAGCTTAGTTTGGCCTTTGTTTATCCATTGCTCTTTAGTAGTAGAAACTGGTAAGGGGAAAGAAAGAAAGCAAGCTTGAATCGGTCAGGTTCCAAAGAAAGATCAGAAATAAAGTGTAAAAACAATTAGCTAAACCAATAATAAGGATTGGGCTGCAGTATCATGTAGTGGGCCATGGGTTTTGGAGAGAGAGAGCAAAGCTAATAATTGGTTTCTCAGTTACTATACTGGGCAAATTACTTAACTCCTGAGCCTTGGTGTTTTGGCTGAAAATGGAGGTAACACCTACCTCTTAAGGTTATTACAAGTATTAAATGATCCTAATTAAAGTACCTAGAACATTGCCTGAGACATTAGAGTCCTCCTCCCAGCTGATCTCTTGTTCTCTTCCAGTGGCTTTCAGTTGTTTTCTTTCTGTTTCAAATGATTTGCTTATACTCTTATCCTTGACCTATTATAAAATGCATTTGAGAAGCAGACACCAAGCAAAGGAGGCATGGGGTAGTCAAATGTCCAAGTCCATATACTTTAAAGCATTAGTCATAGGAGAGCCATTGAGACCCTTAATCAGAACCTGTTGGCATTTATTGCAAATATTTCTAACAAGGAAAGTTACCTGGCTTCTAAGCCCACAGTAGATTAGAGACAAGTAGACTGTAGGTAATGTGGTAGCTTAAGAGGAGTGTAGTGGTGGTGGGAGGATGGGAAACGGTTAGTGTTCTATTGTAAGAAAAAGCAGAGAACAACCTGGTAAGGATAATAGAGGTAATCTACATTACGAGACACAAAAACAAATATTCAAAGCCTATCGAGCATGTCTGGGACCATTCAGTGCAGGACCAGACCTGAAAGTGTAGTAATGAGTGTTCATCAATTAGCTTAAGTCATGTTTGGGGAAATCTTTTTAAGAATGAAGTAATCTTCATGATATACTTTAGATTGTCATTCAGGATGATTAACAACAAATGTTCTTAACATTGTGCTGCATCGAATGACTTATTTCATGGAAGAATCACAGTATCTACTATGACCAAGGTGTTTTTCATTTGTTTTGCCATTCATTGTGCCACAATTCCAGATTGAAAAGCCCTTCATACCGCACCTTTTCTTTCGAGTAAGTCATTCTTTTTGTCAGTCTGCAAGGATGTCATGTAAAACTTCTCACTCAGGCTTTCAGATCGAGTGTGTTAGAGATTTCTAGGATCAAACGACTGTGGACAATTAGCTAGCCTGTCTGTTGAGGGCTTCTTGCCTCTTATATGACTCCTACCCAATATTAGCCTTGATAATTTCTTTGGATCCTTCTCCTTCCTACCTCAGCGTTACTTTCTAAACCGTCTACTCCATCAAGTGTTAATTGGTGATGGAATATATAGCCTTGGCTATTAAAAAAAAAACAATAGCCAGAATGTGTTTTTTTTTAAACCACTACTATAAAAGTAATCCGGCCTTTTTTGCTTAAATGCGCAGTCAGAGGCTTACTTCTTGTCTCTTATCAATTTTGATCGTTTCTCTAGATTGGTGTAATTGTGTTCAGTTAGGACATATTTCAATGTTGATTCTAGATATACCGGGGGTGCCGAAAATATGTATACACTTGTATTCAGCTTGTGTTATTGGTATATATTGAGTATTACAATTTTAATACAGTTTTTTCCTTTCTTAAAATGTATATCCATTTTTTTGGCACCCTCTGTGTATCTCAAGGATAGCTCTCAGCTTCAATTTCAATAATTTCATGTAGGGGGAATATAATTTTCCCAAGCCAGGTGTATTTAGACACTGCCTCTGGTTTGGCCAGATAGCCAGAAATATTAGGGTAATTCTCTGAATTATGTACTATTTGCCTTGGATTCTAGAGTGTGAATAGTTCTTTAGCTCAGTGGGTTCATTTTAGATGTCACTGAGCCCCACTGATAGGACAGGTGTCTCGTAACTTAGATCTGTCTTTAGGTTTGTGTTCTTAAGAAAAATTCTAAAATGATTCATTCTTATTAAAATTTGTGAGTTTATTATGACATAGTCACCAATTCTTCAGGTAGCTCTGTAATTTTTAAAAAACTGAAATTACTTTGGCCTCAGAC